ATGATGGAGGAATTTCCCTCTTGTTTTTTCTGAGAGTACTCACAATGGTCAAATTGTAGTCAACAAGCATTTTGTCAGCCAGTGGGATGGAAGTAAACCAATTGTCCATGGTCAAATTGCGTCCGGTTCCGTGAATGGGTTCTGTCGGTTTTCTTACGTAATAAGCTGGGAGAGGTTCTTTATATGGCCTATTATCTGAATCAGGTTCATTGTCGAGTTCTTCATTCCATCGTAACAGAGTTTCTTCAAATTTGTGATCATCTGGTCGGACAGCCATCTAAATAAATTACGTAATCTAGTGTGTGGAATAAAATAAAAATACCAGTTTAAGCTTACCTGGGGTTACTCGTCACCCCAAACACAAAATATCATATAAACTATTGCACTGAACAAAAATGTGCGACCAACAACACACACACTTTAACCTCAAATGAACATAGCGGGATCTCCGATGTTGCCAATTTATGCACAAAAAATTAGTGAACATTTGAATTTTTTTTGGGGTGATGCGAAACCCCACTAAGCATTACACGGTTAAGATAGATAGATTAAGCATCATTTTATAAAATCATATCATATAATATGTAATATGAATATACAAATTTTTCTTTACAACCAAGAAAACAATCAACATGTGATACATCGTTGAATTCGTAGAAAGAGGTACTATCCGATACAGGCTGTACCTTTTTTCGGTCCATATAAAAAAAAATTGATGATTTCTCAAAAATGAAACGTCAAATACAAAATTTAAATGCACCATCATCGAAAAAGTGCCATCATTAGTTTTTTGTTATTACTTAATATAAAGAAAAAAATAAAAACATTTTGATTAACTTTTAGTCTTTCTCAAATACCTCAGCAGGTCATGAAAATTTTACAAGTTTCATGCAATGATCTGTCATGAAAATGTGGGACATTTCTAAAAACAAACATTTTAAGAGCCTTTTTTCTTTATCAAGAACCTCAATACTGCCATAATTCATAGAGTGATCTGTGTTGTTAATATGCGATGCCAAAGCACATCTCTCTGGATGTAATCTGGCGTCACTTTTGTGTGAAGTTATCCTGCCTTTCAGCGACCTAGAAGTTTGGCCTATATAAACTAAATTGCAGTTGTTGCAATTAATACAATAGACACCCAACTAACAATTATCACTCCTATTAGAGTTGCAAGAATGATTATAGGTTCAGTATTCCTTAAACAGCATTGTATACTGTAAGAATATTGGCAAAACCCTCTTAGAACAGCTATACAAGCGGAATGGGCACACCAAATAGGACAATACAGTCGTTTAAAAGGTTGAATAAGGTATAAAGGTATAAAGTTATAAAACAAAAGTGTAAGCCTCTTGCAGCCGCTATAGGACATTTGCGTCAGTGCAAGATTCAGTTTTTGTCAACTATGCAACAATTATGTTACGTGATTCTGCTTTATTGCAACCAAACTATTTCTTATGTATTGTATAGACGAAGTGAAGAATATATAACTAACGCATTACAGTCATCTTGTTTACTTACATATCGGCCATTGTGAATTTCATACACAGGTATATGATAAACTTCTGCACTGTGATATAGGGCTATTGAATTACTTGCGCAGCAAATTTTACTGTGATTATCGTGCAAATTTGCCCTATAAGGTGTTGTATAACTATGCTATAAGGATATTTTAAACACTTCATTTTAGAGCAAATATGTTGCAGAAAGCAAATCTGCATTCCACACAACATTAAGCCAGCATTTTTGTGTTCAAGCAACAACAATAGAGAGCTTTTATGGCTGAATAGTTCTTTTACCAAAAGCTTATACCACTACTTTGCTAGTTGGGCGGTATTGGTTGAATCAAGCAACTGAACCTTATCCTTCATTTTGGATAACAAACTGTTAACTGTGAGCACTGACTTACAAGCAAAACGACAATTAAAGGAATTATACAGCCTGATCAATTTTGGAGTTAGTTGTTTGATGTATGGCAAAACAACATAGTTAACTCTGGAAATAGGAGCAACCACTGTAGTGCTGCTGGTCTCATTAGTTGAAGAATTAATGGGTATCTGGTTGGATTGACCCGTGTTGTCATTTTCACTGTTTTTATTAGTATAGTAGTATATATATATATTTGTTTTCAGCCAAGAAGTACTGTTCTCCACATTATCTCCTTCCTCTATACAAGGCCCAGATAAGATCTAGATTTAAGTATTCCTCACACGGGGTGCTGCCGCACTGACCACATTATTCATGCTCGATGCTGTCCAGAGGAGGGCTATCCGACTGATCGGTAACTCTTCTATAACAGACCGTTTCGCACCGGCGCGGCGGGCCGTCGGCGATCTCGCTCTCTTTTACCGCTACACCAACGGGCTTTGCTCCTCAGAGCTCTCCTCCATGATGTTGCCACGCGAAGTGCCTGCCAGATAGACCGGCAGGACTTTGGCCTCAAATCCTAACGGTGTCGAACTTCGTACATACAGAACTGGCCGGTACGACCGCTCTTTGGTCCCTAGGATGTCGAGATAATGGAAAAGTGTATAAGAGGAGGTTTTTGCCAGTTCTACTAGCCTTAGGCAGTACAAAGGTCGGACTAACAAAGTTTCTTTAGGATCCTCGTAGCAGCCGCGGTATCATGGTATTCTGACTTATACGTCTGCGTGGCTGCTTTTATAATAGTCTGCATCCATACTTTAGACGCGTGTAAGTTCACAGGTATACATTTTATCAATTTTGTGTCGCCACCTTAAATATTATTCTTGAACGTATGACTCTTCCACATTTATACTTATCACTATCTGTATGACAGGTCACTTCTTGTTTATCTCCAATAGTAATCAAAGCGATGCCTGAAGATACAACTACAAAGTGGATAATCCGTGTTAAATTTGTTGGGTTATTTTCAAACGATGTATGGAAATAACGATGCTGTTCACACACTTCATGTGTGTACAAAAGCAAATAGCTCCTGCGTTAAGGAAGGTAAACTCCGCAAGTGGTACAGCTAGGTCGATCTGTTTGCTTATTTCGTGTGGCATTGTCGGCTCAGCCTAAACGTATCAGCTTCTAAGCATTACCTGTCAGTTTGGCAACATTTTATAACTGCCTCCGAATAGATGCCGAGCCACCTATGAGCGAACGGCGAACCGAGATTTATCAAACTCGATATTAGTTGTAATGCACGTCAAACTCAAGGTCAATTAGGATGACTAGCGGATTTTAAAAACATCTCGCACAGTGTCTTCTCTTGATATAACTGCTTTCACGGAGTGTATCGCTATAAATTGACTTCTCTCTAACTTTTTGCTATGACCCATTAGTTCTCTTATACAATATTTTATTATTTACACGGTGCAATAGTAAATTGTTATAGTGGAATTTGTCTTTCTTTGAATGAAATACCCTGTATGAATTCAGTGAAGATGATAGAAGCTTTGTGGTTATGAATCTTTTTGTAACGTGCATTTTTATACTATTTTGATCAATTACCAGGAGGGTAAGATCTTTTTTTATACCATCTAGCTACGTGCATTAATGCATGCCCAGAAGAAGTTGACTCCAGTGGGCGTCAAGTCTCTTTACAATATCTGCTTCCTTTTAGTGGGAAGGCATTGAGGAAAATCACCATCCGTACCCATCCAGCCAGTTGTAGCCTATCTTGCTGGGAACCACCCCCTTTTCTTGAGGAGAAAACCCTCATGTAAACACGTAAAATGTCGTTTTAATCAATTCTTTTACTTATACTGATTATTGTTGACTGAAATTCTTAGAGTGTACTTGATTTTGTCTGGCATTTTTCGTGTTCAAATATGGGACAGTGCCTACATTGGCACCTTCTCTCGAGCTTACCCCATTACATTGACTATGTATAAAAATGTACATGGTTTTTCATGTTCGAGTATTTTAATGAGTAGTTTTGTCTCATAAAAAGAACAGAAAGTAGATTTTTAAGCAGTCTTTCTCTCTAGGGTTTTCTGTACCGTAAGCTTTGACTGCGAGGCAAGCAGGCCACACCTCGTGAAGTTCCTTTCAACACTGTCGAGTAATGGCCACTAGTTTTAACCAAAAAGCCTGAGCTTTTGTGACACCTACGTATGTTAATTAGATTTCGAGAATTCCTTACATATCAATTTATCTTGCCATGGACAACAATTGATAAAATGGTCAGGTTTTTCTGTTAAGTTTTTGTGGTGGCTGTGTAAATTGTTTGGTGATAAAGAGGCATTCAGTTTTCGTGCATTTACGGTGTCAGTTAAATGTTGAATTTCGTGTAGCTAATTGAGAAGCCTTTTTGTGATTGCTCAAAAGTGTGCGTAGAATCTGCCGGGTGTCCCAGCTCAGTGACTTTGAGGGAGGTAGAATTGTCGGCTTGCGTGACGCTGATCTATCGATAAAAAGTTTCTAGGAGGATCAACAGATCATTACGCAGAATACTGCAGTGTGAACGAGCGTGTACTCAGGAAGGCCAAGGTCAGCGAGCGAGAGGTTCTGGACGTCCCAGAGGGACCACATAGCGACAAAGCCGTCGGTTAAGACTTCTGGCTCTGAGAGACAGATTCAGTAGTAGGGTAGGGTGCCCCAAGTCTGCGCACTTAAGGTTTGATAAGCCGTAGAATCGTGAATCAATAACCTATTGTAATAATCTTAATTTCTATTTAGGCTCACATTAATGTACTTTGTTAATTTAAGTTTTATTCAAACATCTGATAACAATTTTGTTAGTAATTAAAAAAAAAAAGACAAAGATGTAAATGCGCAGTCTTACCACTACGGGTCTCTGGATATTGCGCATTCAGATCGTTAAGATTGCGCATAGATAACAAAAACTTAAAAGTAGGAACTAAAACAGTATAAGGTATCTTAAGCGCATAAATCGCACTTAAACTGTCCAATGCCTACGTAGGCCGTACATTTCTCATACCACCATTCAGAACAAACAGAACAACCTATCCAATCCTCTGTAATCGGCTCTTTATACTCCTCATTGCAGCCACCGCATGCCCATTTCTTTTTTTTAGGATTTTTTCTCAGGAGTTTTCTTCAACTGATTCTCTACTAATAGCTGTTCTTTATATGAAGAACCACTAAGTATTTCAGATTTCTTATGTTTTCGCTTGTTTGCGGTCTTTCTTATACCTGATTTTGGTATAGGGCAAATATCTTGGAGTTTCAATTTGATTGCGGCCGATTCATTGCTGCAAGATGGTACCTGTGCAGGAACTTGGAAGATACCACCATTTTTTTCAGCTGGAGGACCGTCGAAGTTTTTCTTTTGCCCTGACTCAGAACTCACAACTGGTTCGGCTGGAGCTTCTGTTACTAGAGAAACATTCTCAATTGCTGTAAAAGCGTTCCTCGCAGTTGATGATTTTTTTGGCTCCTTGTTGAAAACAGAAGCACGAGGCTCATTATCCATAACTGGTTCTCTCTGTTCATGGGGTGTTGCTTCTTGAGGATTCTCCTGTTGTGATTCTGAACATTGGTTATCATCCATTTCTCTTTAGGTCACAGCACTAGGAAGAAAATCTGCATCTGTGAAGATATCTGGATTGTATGGGTAGATTCCGGACACCTTGAAACATTCAGCAGCACAACCAACTGTAGCTGCTTTATTAAACGCTGGAGTGAATAAAGACGTCATCTGAAAAGCAGTTATAGCTCTGCCAGGGTGGTTTCTCATCCATTTTTCACATTCGCTAGCAAAATAAGTCTTCAACGCACTATGAAAACCTTTGTCTAGTGGTTGCATCTTGTGGCTGCTGTGTGGAGGTATGGTTAGAGCTATTATGTTATTCGCTCGATAAAAGTCTACAGCCCCTATTGTACAATGCGACACATGATTGTCAAGAACCAGAAGGATAGGGTGTTCTTTAGTTGGTCTTGTGTGATCTTTAAAGTGACCTAGCCAGTTTAAAAAAAGTTCACTATTAATATAACTTGTGTCTGAGACCATTCCAATAGACGCTGGTGGTGCGCCATCCAGCAATTCTGCTTTCATCCTTTTGCGACCGAATATGAAAGCGGGAGGAATGAAGTGTCCAGATGCACTCATAGCATTCACTACGGTTACGTTCGTTCCTCTTTCAGCGCTAGAAATCTTATTAACAGCGCGCTTTCCTTTTTTTGATATGACCCTTGGAGGATTGTTGGGTACGGTAGACAGACCAGTTTCATCCATATTATAAATGGAAGTTGGAGGAAACTTATACTTGTCCATCAATTCTGCTAGATTTTTGTAGAACCTCTCACATTGTGGCTTATTAAATCCCATCGCCCTAGCAATACTTGTGGAAGTTAGACGTCTTAGTGAAAGATCTGGGTGCCGACTGAGAAATCCACGAAGCCAGTGTTTGCCTGCCATTTTCTTTTCGGCATTGAAACGATGAGGAATATTATTTTTCACCACAAACTCGTAAGCAGCAATCCTCAAATTCTTAGGAGTCATCTCTTGAAACATATTGTCAAGATCTTCCAAATAATTACAAAATTCCTGTTCAATTTCGGGAGAAAGAGTTGGATAATATCTACCAAGCTTTGTTGCAGCTTCTTTACTCTTCAGGCGATACCGCAAAGTACTTTCTTTCATCCCGTACGACGATGCTACTTTTCTTTTGCTTTCACCATTTTCCATTCGTCTTCTAGCTTCCTCTAAAACATATTGAGGGCACGACCTTTTTCTTTGATTAAGCATTCTGAAAATGAATATTTAAGGTTGTTATATCAAATTAAAAGTTATGGTAGGGTAAGTCTGCGCGCGTAGTGTTACGGACCGTGACTCTGCGCAGTCTTAGGGAATAACCCAATATACAATTATGTGACTCCTAACGCCATCTATTGAAAATATCAAAAATTATATCGCTTGCCGGCTGTATAGGTTAAATCACGCAAACGAAAACACTGGTCAAATCTTTGATAGTGCTTCAGGCTTTCATGTAATTACAGTTTGAAATTGAGAAACAATAACATCAGAATCGATATTTAACTTCAAGCTTACCTTGCGACTAGGTTTTGATAGGTTTTTGGTTTGTTTTTTCTACAGCGCACTCACTCACAGCAACGGCCCAGAACACGAGAGAACTTAGTCGACAATGTCATTTTGCTTCCGAAATATGGGAGCTGCGCAATCTTACCTCCTGCGCAAAGTTAGGGCACCCTACCCTACTCGAGCCATCGCTAATCAGTGGTTTGAAGAGGATGGAAGGATGGTTGGTATGCGTACGGTGTATCGCAGAATACGACAGTTTAGCCTTTCTTCTTATCGCCCACATTGGGTGCTACCTCACACAGCTGAACATCAGCGTAACCGTTTGCTCTGTTGTAGAAAAATGATCTGTCTGGGGATGCACGATGGTCGGGCAACAGTGAGGAGGCGACGTGGTGAAAGACGTGACCCACAATTTGACAGAGAGCGTCTCGTTCACCACACCGTGAGAGTTGTGGTATGGGGTGCTTTTGCTTATGGTAGCAGATCACCACTAGGCAATATGACAGCTCGACGCTAAAATCAGAAAGCACTGGAGCCTTATCTCAACCCGATTTTTCAACAAGACAATGCCAGACCGCATATTGCCAGACCATCGTTAGCCTTCATGGATCAACATCGCATCAACCATTTACCTTGGCCACCACGATCGTCTGACCTATCACCAATTGAATATGTCTGGAACATGACAGGTCGCAGGCTCTTTTGAAGTTGCAACACCATCCACAGACTTTAGCAGCTCTTACTCACGAATTTGCAGTAGCCTGGAATGAGATACCCCAAAAGGATATGGATCACCTTATTAGCACGATGCCTAGGCGTGTCAATGATTGTATAAGCTAAATCGTGGATCCTCAACACATTATTGAACCAGCTTCAGCAGTCAGTTGACGAATCGAGCTGAAAATTAAATCATTTTACTAGTAAGGGACACAACATATATGCCAAAAATTATTAAAATCCGATAAATATACATAGGTGTTTACCTTTTCTTGTCACTGAGTATATCTTGAGTTTTATTTGGCTTTCTGTACAACTAATTAGTTGACGTCATTGATATTACATTCTATTCTTTTGTGAACGTGGTCAAGTTCCGACTAACATTGCGATTTGTGGCTTAATCCGATTTAATTATCAGGTAACCAAATAAGTTCGTGCGGTTTTTAGTAGAAAAACATTAATTTTTATTGAGAAACAATAAGACACTGTTTATTCGTCGAAGTAATTATCATCACATTCAACGTGGACCCAATTTTCTTATGCCGGTACTGTAGAACTCCCTGAATTCGGAGTCAAAAAATTGGCGGACTGCATTTATTACATCTCGAGTTGTAAACTGTCGGTGCCTCATACAGTTGTCAAGAGACGAAAAAAGGTAACAATCACTAGGCGAAATGTCGGAAAAATATGGCGGGTACGGTAACGTTTCCCAGCCGAGTTCTGAAATTTTTTCTCGGGTCACTCATGCGGCATGAGGCTTGGCGTTATCCTGCAAGAATATCACTTCCGATTGGTCAAAGAAGGCTCTTTCTGGATGTGATGCTGCTTGTGCTCGTGGAAGCTGCACACAATACAAGTTAGCAGTGATGGTTTGACCTCTTTTTGAAAACTCATGATGGACAATTCCAGTTGCTGTCCACCAAAAACACAACAAAACCTTGTTTGGGTGTAAGGAAGCCTTGGGTGTGTGTGGTACAGAATCAGTAGGCGACAACCAATGATACGAATGCTTAGAATTCGAATACAAGATCCATTTTTCGTCGCAGGTTAATAACCGATTAAGAAATGGTTCATTAGCGTTGCGTGAAATGTTTGCTGAACAAATGGTAAGACGACTTAATTTGTTATCATTTGTCAGTTCATGTGGGACCCATTTGCTTAACTTCCACGTCTTTCCTAGCTGATGAAGATGCATACGAATAGTTTCAGGACTCACTCTGATCATTTCTTGGCACGTTATCCTAGAATTTGCGACCAAAACCTGTCGAAAATCCTCGTTGTTCATGATTTTTGGTCTCTATCGCTCAAACTCCCGAAGAAAATTTTTTGAACCACTTCTGTGCTGTTCGATCATTAAGGGCATCATCTCTGAATGCGGTACATATTTTTCGCGCCGCCGCTACAGCTTTTGTACCAAGTTTGTACTCATACTGTAAACAACTTCTAATTACTGTCTTATTAGTCGCCATTTTCAATTATTAAAACTAGATATGTAACAATTTTCAGCAACTTTTTATGTGTGTGAGAAAAGAAGGATTCATACTAAAGTGACAACAGGTAACAAACAATCGCTATCCATGAACAACATCCATGGCAATGTGCGATATACAGAAACCGCACAAACTTATTTTGTTACCATATTTGAAAAAGGAAACACAACTCCATTTTCTTTATTTATAAAAATCTGGTTTTACTATCTAAGTCAAAAATATACATTATTGTATGTCAATAGGTGATATTTATTCGGACACAACTCAGACACATGTGAAAATTGCAATAAAACTTAGCCGCTTAGTGGCTTTGTAAGACCCTATACATTTTTGTGTAACGCATTATTCTCTTAATGGTCATGCAAACAAATTAGTGAGTTGGTCATTTTATAGCGATAGAGCCTGTACTATGGACTGAATGCATGACAAACAAAATATAAAATCCTGTATAACTAATAGAAATAAGTAAAATAAACATATTTATAATAAAAAAAACCTGTTTCACTTTAATGAGAAATATACATTAAAGAAATACTTTATTCGTTAGCGCTTTTCTGTCACACTATGTATACAAAAATATATTGCATAAAATACTTTTAGTAAACCGTTTTACATCTTTAGAATTTTTCTAAATGGCGATACAAAAAAGTTGCACTTCGTTTTATTGACAAATGTCTATGGAACCTTTAATTGACTTCGTCACCATAACCTTGTCATTTTCCTGACAATTTAACTCAATGTGACGAGAGTATGTCTTTTGTGACCATAAGGTTGCGTCAAAATATCCGTATCTTGCTTCACAGTTATTGAGATTCTGCTACTAGCTCTGGAACTCTCCTACACAGTAATCAGGACCCTGGGATAATTCGCGAACAAAGCCAACTAACGTACCGTTCCGTTGGCCATCTGAATGACATCGGATCGAATAGCTCCATTCAAGTTGATCTCTCGCAAACGTAGCTGTCTCATTCCCGCTAATCCAACCTTGCTATAGGTAACGACAGGCGTTATTTTGATCCAATGAAACGTTATACGGGTCAGACGCCCACGTGACAGCGTTGTCGATCTAACTAGTCGCACAGACACACACAGGCCGATAGATGGGGAAGAGGAGAGCTATTGTAAGGCGAAATAATCATATAAGCTATCTTATACCAATGAACGGGGTCTCAAGGTATATGTTAGAGTCGCGTCAAACCACACATTCATATAAATAATGATACATTCTGAAAAGAGCCCTCACCCCCACCTATTTCTTGAATGTCAAGATAGCAAGCTGAAGCTTAGTGCGATAAAATGCATCCTTACTATTGCCGTGAAAATGGCAATTGAATATTTCAAGATGAATTTTTCAAATACATGTAAGGTACTACATTTTTGAGCTTCTTACGCGCACATCATAACCCTAGAGTAAAAAATTCACTAT